TTCAAGTGGCTGGCATCATCAGAGCATTTTTGGACCAAATTCTGTATCAAGAAATGGAGTTGAAAAATGTCCTGTCTTATTTAAAAATAAAGAGGTTTTGCCATTTAGAAAGAAGTCCTTAGTTCTTATTTCAAATCCGATTAGATTTCGACTTTTCATAATAGAACTTGGGAGGGCATTCCACATAGTCGCTTATCTTATAAAATAGAAATTAGATCGTTGGGACTTTTTGAATTTGAGGAGCCTTATAATATTTTGGCTATTTTTAGTGCTTCGGGATGTTTTGGCTTGCTAGTGAATTCATTTTAAGAATATCTTGGCTGTGTGTGACCTTGAAAAGTAACCCTGCCAGCACCAGCCAAACCCTACCCAATCCGGCCCAAATGGGCTGGGTTGGGCCACAAGGCTGGGCCACGGTATGGCAATGGTAAGATTAGGCCATGTGTTGGCAGGGAACCGAGTGGAATGCCGAGGATTCTTAGTTGGCAAGAGAAACCTAGATATGGAATATCTACTGAGATTTCGTAATCCGCAGCAGTAATAACACAGCAGATATTAGCGTTACGTATTAGTTTATCATAGAGTTAATTCCATGTATATGGGTCTTAATTTAGTTTATGTAGCAGTTTTCAAAGGCATTGCCTATTACTCTTAAAATATACTGACCTATATACTGACCTAGTTACATACGCAATTTGGATCGCGGAATTGCTTCTGCATTCAGGCAGGATAAGGTTGGTCCAAGGCCACACCTAGCCCAACCGTGGTCCAAAGGTAAAATTGGGCCACGTGTTGGCAGGGAATTAACGACATATTGGAGTCTTCTGATCCAGTGACGTCGAAGATCATACGAATGATATAGTTCTAAGTAAGAACTCTGTGTGTAATCATATTTGAACAAGAATCTAGTAAAGCGTCCTTCAATGCCTTCTACTTCCTTTCGGTCATCTGAGGGCATTTTACACATGGAAAGTGAGCAGTAATCTTGGAGAGGTAAAATGTGCACTTTGAAAAGTTGTGTTTCCATCGTATTTAAAGTGAAATTTTTACATATGGATCCGTACGGGCGAGTGGTCCTCGATGATATTTGTTTTACATGGAATGGGGGGGGGAAGTAAGTCAAGGGTAGTTGTACAGTATAGGTCTAAGTCTTTTATTAATTGGCTTTCACCATTTCATTACCCTCGAGAACTATGAACGGAAGTTTTGTGGGCCAAAAATCAAGGGATGGCATTTTGTCGGTGAGAATGGCATTTGCCACTGACTACTCCATTCGCTAAATTTTTTGAGATCGGCTTCGGTTGTTCTGTGCATACAGATTACTGTAGGCTCGTTATATGCATATGCGACTTTCAGATCGTCTGCATATGAGAACGCTTGAGCTGAGGATGATGTGTACGATGAGTCGTGAACAGATACGACAAATAGAAGGGGAAGAAGGATAATGCCCTGAAGTACTCCACTGGCAATATGGGATGGTTTTGAGACCAAGCTTCGAATATGCACCATCTGATATCAGTTTTAAAGGTATGGTTTGGGAAAACCGAGAAGGTGGGCGGGGGACAATTCCATGATCTACTAGGTTTATTTTAAGTCTTTTAGGAAGAACTTTATTGAGGACACTTTGAAGATCGAAACTTAATGTAGTTACCGCGTTCCCGTCATCTTTCCTGTGGAAACTAATTCTAGAAAAGTGTGATTGCAGGATTGGCACAGTTTGGGGTAAAAAGGCATGTTGAGACGGATTATGAGGTTTGCGTTTATCAGATGGTCCAAAAGTTGGTTGTAAATTATTTTTTTTCGAGGATTTTAGCTTTGCCGCTGTTCGGTTAACACCATGGCAGCCATGTGCATCAGGTCGGTTTCAGTTTTTAAAGATTACTGCGGTGCTCGGGTACTTCCGGATGTTTGGAAAAACTATATTCGAACGAAGTAAAGCGAATAACCTAGAGAGGGATATTGGAGCATATATCGTATGGTTCAGTATGAATTTTGGAATTTTATCCATTCCATAAGAGGTGGCGTTGGAGAGTTGTCTGATGGCTTTGGTACTTTCTTCACCAACAACGATCCCACTAGTGATGCATTCTGTCATCTCAGTTGGTTGAAGGATCGGTTCTTTTTCGACTGTACAATTGGTTGAGAACCATGTTTTAAACAAATTTGTTATTTCGTTATCGTTTGTTAATACTTGTCCTGAGTCATCGACCATAATTTGGGGTCCTAACTTTCGGGGATTATTAATTTGCGTCTGGAAGATTTGAACTGTTCGTTAGAAGGACTCTAGTGCCAATGCTCTGCTGCTATGGCCGTTTTTGTTTCCACTTTAGTAATTGGATTATGAACTTCCCTTATTCTTCGAAGTGTCGATAAATAACTTAGAGAGGGATCATGTAGTTGTTTTTTAGTTTATTAAGTTTGTTGGGAAGGAAGTTTGGGATTTTGTGGCTTCTTAAACGGAGATCTTGCGTCCACTATGTTATCTCTAAGTCTAAATAGGGTGGAGTATAAGCGGCTAACTGCTTCCATGGGTGACGCTGTTTGTAGGTATCAACTCCAGTCTAATGACCTGATACAATTGTTCACGAGGTCCTTTTTAAGCTTTCCTGATTTACGCGAGTGTTACTACGACCAAGTTCTAATTTTATGCCTGGAAGGACGAATGATATTATTATTTGAATATTACGTAGTCGTAATATGCATAGCGAGGTTAGATGTCATCGGTGAGAATTGGCGTATGAACTTGCTTAATTCGTCGACGTGTGCATAAAGAAAATACACAGGGATCATATAGTTGTTTTTTGATATGGGTGCGCATTCCCGATAATGCCTACCAGAGTCCGATGCGGCCCTCGTATTGTTCGAGCGCATCTACCGCGTGGCTCGGTATGGGGGCACGATTGCATTATACAATCTTGTATAGCCTTACGTAGGCTTAACGTAGTTTTATATAGTCTTAGGACAACTAATATGCAGTCGAAAGACACATTAGTTTTGTTCCTTGAAGGTTTTAGTGTCTAGTGAATTAGCTGATGGAAATGGGAAGAAGAAT